GACTGGACATACCCCATTTGCAATACCTTGGTTTGTCTTCTTTTGCAAATGGTATGCCATCATGGGGGTAATTCTCATTCCTGGGCTACCATACGCTCTCAAAGGCAACGTAACCAACCTGGCCATTTTCAATGTAAAAATATTTGGCCCATATATTTGACCTTGTAACTTTCAAAAATGCTATAAAACCTGTACATGGGGGGTACTGTTTACTCAGGGGACATCATGAACACAAATATTAGTGTTTAAAACTGGAAAACTGTCCCAACAATTGCTTATCATCAGTAAAAGTGCTGTTTGTGTGTGAAAATGCAAAAAAAGTCACTTTCACTGACAATATCATCGCTGTGATATGTTTTACTGTTGTGAATCACTAATATTTGTGTTCAGCGAAGTCTCCCGAGTAAAACAGTACCCCCCATGTACAGGTTTTAGGGTGTCGTAGAACGTTACAGGGTAAAATACAGTGCTAGCAAATTAAATTCTCTGGAATTTCGGCCTGGGTTGGCAGGCAGGTCCCTCAAATTGCAATCAATAAAATTACTGAATTATGTAAAAATATTACATAAATACGCACGTAGAATTTAAATATATATGCATATTTATATATTTGAAGTCTACGTGTATATTTATATAATTATTTATGTAATTTTGTATATGGACGTATGTATATTTCTTATTATTTTTATTTATTTTTATATACATAGATATATATACAAATTCATTCTAAGTGTATTTTGATATAAATATATATATATTAATTTTAAAATACAGTTAGAATAAAATTTCATATAGCTATATAATTTTTTTTAAATTTTTTATTATTATTTAAAAAATGTTTTATTTCATTTAAATTACTTATTATTTATATTTTATAATAATATATATATACAATATATATAGTTATTATATATATTATATATATACGTGTGTAATTTAATTATAAGTGTATTTTTATATTAATATAAGTACATATTAATATAAAAATACACTTAGTATGACATTATATATATATGATATATAGACATATATTATATAGATATAATATATGTCTATATATCATATATACACATATATAATTATTTTATTTTTTTTAATTAACACTAACTTTATTTATTTTTTCTGATTTTACACAAGCAGGGAGACTGCCTGTCAGCACAGACAGTCCCCCTGCAGGCAGCACTATGGACACCTATTGTGACCATGTGATCGCTGTGTTAAGCGATCACATGGCCACAGGGGTCCTAATCTGCCGTGGGGAGACTGTCTGGGCTGCAGACAGTCTCCCCACAACCGGAGGAACACTGATCGCCGCCGGGGGAACGACGGCGATCAGGTAAGTACCCCCAGACCGTTAGGACGGTTCAGGACCGTCATCGGTCGGCAAGGCAAAAATGCAGATGACGGTCCTGAACCGTCCTCGGTCCTTAAGGGGTTAATGTTATTTTTCTTTGCTGCTGAGGTAAATAAAGAAAGAGTGCAGCATAATAGGAGCCTCCGTGTCTTAATAAAATCAGTAACCTTTTCCTACAGATGAATCTTACCTGTAACAGTAGAAAAGAAAGCTCTTAGCACAACTCTTAGACAGTTGAAGCTTCTGTAAAACTCTCCAGAATATCTCCAACTACACACTTAGAAACAGCACTTAGAAGTAACAAACTCATTATCGCTAGAATAAGGCACACAAATGAAATAAAAAATGTAATAAAGGACAAAACACAATGCTAGAAATAAGTCAAAGTAATAGGCAACCAAATTAAAACAAACTCAACTGCGAGGCAAACAGAAATGAAAGAATATGTGGAAGTGGCATGTTTTAGAGTGTATTCATTGCTCCTTGATTTGTTACTTTATTTATCTTGTTAACTCCGTATTTGCTGCTGGGAAGTAACAGTAAAGAAGGTTAAGCAAATATAAAGCCTTTTGTCTTAAAATAAAAAAATGACAGCTCAACGTTTAGGTCAGTGGTAGTCAACCTTTTTCCACTTACCGCCCACTAATGCATCTTTCTTGATGGAAAAATTTCCTTACCGCCCACCAGTTTTCGCGCAAGCGCGGAATATTTTTTAGAAAGGAGGGTGTTTTAAAAAATACATAAATGAACGTACATTTATCTTTTTATTTCTACTTTATGCATGTTTATAATGTTTTTAACTTTATAAAGTTTAATGAGGAAGCAATAAAGTAAATTGAACTTACCTTTACTAGTGATTAATGAGATCCTTGAGGTTGATGCTGCGAGACTAAATATTTGATATCTGGTTCGATTTTCATAAGGAACAAACGAAGGTCTCCTCTTTCAGTGATAATCGGAAGACTTCTTTGTTTGCTCATAAAATGATTTCTCATCTGTGCGTCAGCTCCCCTCCTCTCCCTCCTCAATTCCCCTTCCCACCTTTTTCCCCTTTTTTTCTATTTTTTAACCTTCCTTATAGCAATGCCCAGTAGGAAGGCTGAGCTAGGTAGCCCACTTACTATTATTAGTCAACAACAATTCTCTCCTTTTCCTTTTCTTTCCTTCTCCTTTTTTACAAGTACTCTACTCCTTCTTTCCTCTATACTAGAAGTACTCTACTCCTTCTTTCCCCTATACTAGAAGTACTCTACTCCTTCTTTCCCCTATACTAGAAGTACTCTACTCCTTCTTTCTCCTATTCTACAAGTACTCTGCACCTTCTTTCTTCTATTCTACAAGTACTCTGCTCACAGGCAAACACATACACACACACACACACACTCACATTGAAACACATACACACAAATATACACATACTCACACATGCACTTACAGACACTCACACATGCACAGACAGACCCACAGACACACACACACTTACTGACACACACACATACACTTACAGACAGACACATACACTTACAGACAGACACATACACTTACAGACAGACACATACACTTACAGACACAGACACACACATACACTTACAGACACAGACACACACATACACTTACAGACACAGACACACACATACACTTACAGACACACACACATACACTTACAGACACACACACATACACTTACAGACACACACACATACACTACACTTAGAGACAAACACATGTACACACACACATACACTTAGAGACAAACACATGTACACACAAATTATTAATATTAAATATCCACCCAGCCTCCCTACCTGGAGAGCTGGTGTGGATCTGTCCCTGGGGTCCAGTGGGCTTCACTTAGGCGGGCGGCTAATCAGACGCAGCGAGGGAGCTCTAACCTCTCTGCTCTGCTCCCTCGCGGACTGTCTACGGATGCCGGGAGCCGGAATATGACATCATATTCCGGCTCCCGCGGCATCAGCAAACATCGCGCGAGGGAGCAGAGCAGAGAGGTTAGAGCTCCCTCGCCGCGACTGATTAGAACGCTGCCATGCCGGGGGGTCCAGAAGGTGGCCTGGCAGGAGGGAGCGCTTCCTCCTGCCGGTCACTGAAGACTTGCGCATGCAGAGCCGCTCGCGCCCGCCCAAAAGGAGAAATCCTCTTAAAAAGAGGATTTAGCCTCAGAAATCCCTACCGCCCACCTGGAATCCTAAAACGCCCACTAGTGGGCGGTAGGGACCAGGTTGACGACCCATGGTTTAGGTAATAATAATGATCTATCAAAGGAAATCATCCAGTTGTGTGTGAGTGTGTGTGTGTGTGAGGGGAGGGGGAGGGTGTCTGTCTGTTTGTCTATCTGTCTGTCTGTCTATTTATCTCAGCTCTTTACGTGGCTGCCCTCAAATCCAACCATAGTTTGCCTGTCTAGGCCTTTTTATTGAACTCTTGGATTCTGTGTTATTCTTGCACTTATCTGCATAATCTGCTTTCTTGTTCTAATACCTGTCTCATACTTGATAAAGGAACACGTCAGCAAAGTTTGTTCTTCCAATATGTTGTTAGTCAGTTGAAATGCACTGCAACACTTTATTATTTTGCAGATAGATATATTGAAAGACCGCAACTGTTTCTTTAAATTGAATAAATTTAAGGTGTAAGCTTTTTAACATCATATTTTATTTAGCACAGACTGTAAAATGTTCATGTTCTATGTGCAAAAGTCTTATGGTCCCATGACAACTGAATGAAAGTGCACATTTTATATTTCACATGAGCAGACAAATAAAAAATGAAGCCACATCATTTTTTCTCCATGCTATGGACAGGATATGAAAGCATCTATAGTTTTGGGTTAAAAATATGCTCACACCCCTTTTTTCCTGCCAATGCATTTAATCTTCTGGCCGACTATAGAGGGCTATAAACAACCTAGAGAAATAACAGTGAAATGCATTTTATAGTTTAATCTAGAAGATTTTCAGTTCTCTTATCAGTTTTATAGTTAACACCTATATTATCTAGATTACAATTTATAGAAACATTTAAAAATATATATATATATAGGTGATATAAAAAAATTAGAATATCAATCAAAAGTTCATTTATTTCAGTAATGTAATGTAAAAGTGGAAACTAATTTAGAGATAGACGTATTACATGCAAAGCAAGATAGTTCAAGCCGTGATTTGTCATAAGTGTGATTATGGTTTACAGCTCATGAAAACCCCAAATCCACAATCTCAGTGAATTAGAATATTGTGAAAAGGTGCAATATTCTAGGCTCACAGTATCCCACTCTAATCGGCTAAGTAAGCCATAACACATGCAAAGGGTTTCTAAACCTTTAAATGGTCCCTCAGTGTGGTTCAGTAGGAATCACAATCATAGGGAAGACTGCTGACCTGACAGTTGTGCAGAAAACCATCACTGACACCCTCCATAAGGAGGGAAAGCCTCAAAAGGTAATTGTGAAGAAAGTTCGATGTTCCCAAAGTGCTGTATCAAAGCACATTAATAGAAAGTTATGTGGGAGGGAAAAGTGTGGAAGAAAAGGGTGCACAAGCAGCAGGAATGACCGCAGACTACAGAGGATTGTCAGGAAAAGGCCATTCAAATGTGTTTGGGACTTTCACAAGGAGTGGACTGAGGCTGGAGTCGGTGCATCAAGAGCCACCACACACAGACGGATCCTGGACACGAACTTCAGATGTCGTATTCCTCTTGTCAAGCTGCTCCTGAACAACAAACAACGTCAGAAGCGTCTTACCTGGGCTAAAGAAAAACAGACCTGGGCTGTTGCTCAGTAGCCGAAAGTGCTCTTTTCTGATGAGAGCAACTTTTGCATCTCATTTGGAAACCAAGGACCCAGAGTCTGGAGGAAGAATGGAGAGGCACACCCTGTAAGATGCTTGAAGTCCAGTGTGGCGTTTCCACAGTCTGTGTTGATTTGGGGAGCCATGTCATCTGCTGGTGTTGGTCCACTGTGCTTCATTAAGTCCAGGGTCAACACAGCCGTCTACCAGGAGATTCTGGAGCACTTCATGCTTCCTTCTGCAGACAAGCTTTATGGGGATGCTGACTTTATTTTCCAGCAGGACTTGGCACCTGCCCACACTGCCAAAAGCACCAAAGCCTGGTTCAATGACCGTGGGATTACTGTGCTTGATTGGCCAGCAAACCCGCCTGACCTGAACCCCATAGAGAATCTATGGGGCATTGCCAAGAGAAAGAAGAGAGACATGAGACCGAACAATGCAGAAGGCCGCTATTGAAGTATCCTGGTCTTCCATAACACCTCAGCAGTGCCACAGGCTGATAGCTTCCATGCCACGCCACATTGAGGCAGTAATTGCAGCAAAAGGGGCCCAAACCAAGTACTGAGTCCATATGAATGTTAATACTTTTCAGAGGTCTGCTATTGTTCTATGTACACTCCTTATTTTATTGATTGCATGTAATATTCTAAATTACTGAGATTGTGGATTTGGGGTTTTCATGAGCTGTAAGCCATAATCATTGACAAATCACGGCTTGAACTATCTTGCTTTGCATGAATGCGTCTATCTCATATATTAGTTTCCCCTTTTACGTTGCATTACTGAAATAAATGAACTTTTGCACAATATTCTAATTTTTCGAGTATCACCTGTATCCCCTCTGAGGCTCCATTTTTCAAAACAAAAGAGATTGAATAATTTAAGTAATTTTTTAACCTTTTTTCATAACTAAAATGCTCTTTTCCCTTTATGAATTTTGTAGCTTGTCTCTGCACTTCTTCTAGTGCCTTTCTTTAGAACGGGTGCCCAAAAGAGACTTTCAGTGGAAATAACACCGGGAAATAACTCAATATCTTTATGCAGGTGTGCATGTCTGTTAGTGCACCTGCTCTTGCTTGTGCACACATGCGCCTTGTCTGAGGTCCAAGAAGGAGCTGAAGACATTTTTCCGATTTCTGTAGGGAAGAAGGCAGGTGCACTCAGGAGGCTAAAGTGCTTTATGGGTGTGGCGTGGTCCTTTAAGCAGTACATTTAAAGCGTACATTATCATAATGTATCATAACTGAAGGACTAATTATTAAGTTTCTCTAAGTTTTGTCCGTTCTCAGAGTTTTCCTATTCTCTGTTTTTGTTGCAATGCATTAACTTGGCTTTCCCCCAAGTTAAAAGGGTAATCTAGATGTGGACCCCATTCTCACTACGCCTAGACAGGGCCGGTGCAAGGATTTTCAGCTACACAGGCGAAGACGCATTCTGACGTCCCCCCTAAAAAAAATGCGTCTTTATCTGTGTCTCTCGTAACCCCCCTTTTGAATTTTTTCCCCTCTTTATTGTATTCTATCTCCCCTTTACTATGTCTTACACCCTATTGTGTGTCTCTTACAAACCCCCTTGTGTATCTCAGCCCCTTTGTGTGTCTCTTTCTTCCACCCAGGGGCTGAGAGGGGTGGACAGGGACTGAGGAGGGGGACAAATCAGGTTACATGGGCTGAGAGAGGGGACAGGGGCTGTGGTGAGGGACGCAGGCCCTGAGAAGTGGTGACACAGGGGCTGAATGGGGGAAATGGGCTGTAGAGGGAGGAGAGAAAGGAGATGGGGGAGCAGGAGCTGGAGTACGGGGGGGACAGGAGCTGGAGTGAGGGCGGGACAAGGGCTGGAGAAGAAGGGACAGGAGTTGGGGGGCAGGAGTTGGAGAGGGGGTACATGAGCTGTTAGGGGAGACAGGAGCTGGAGGGGGGTGGACAGGAGCTGGAGAGGGGGTGGACAGGAGCTGAGTGGGGTGGACAGGAGCTGGAGTGGGGGTGGAACAGGAGCTGCAGAGGGGGGGCA